TTGTTAAAGGTGTATGTTTGGAGCACGGCGTTGTACGGGTGCGAAACATGGACAGTGGGAGCGGCGGAAAAGAAAAGGTTAGAAGCGTTCGAAATGTGGTGTTATAGGCGGATGATGAGGATATCATGGGTAGAAAAGGTTAGACAGACGGAGAGGATGGCGCAGGGTCGAGTCGCTTTCAATAAAAAGAAATCACTTCTATGGTCGCGAACGATTAATTTAGAAATTCGAAAAAGATTCTTAGGGGTATATGCTTGGAGCGCTGTATGGGTGTGAAATATGGACGGTGGGAGCAGCGGAAATGAAAATATTAGAAGGGTTCGAAATGTGCTGTTACAGGCGAATAATGAGGATACTGTGGATAAAGAAGGTTAGAAATGAAGACGTATTTGAAATAATAAGAGAACAGAGGACTTTATGGAAATCAATAAGAAATAGGCACCTTCTCAGACATGAAGGTCTAGTCAGATACATATTAGAGGCAAAATTAGGAGTGAAGAGGAGTAGAGGTAGATGTAGGTTAGATTACTGTTCGCAAATAGTTAAAGACGTGAGTTGTTCTAGTTTTAGGGAAACGCGAAGATTATCTCGGGATTGGAAAGAGCGGAGGTACATGTCCAACCAGTATTAGGACTGACGACCTTATGATGTTGATTACGATGCCAATATAAATTCACAATGTTGGGTTTTAATCATTTTTCCCGTCCGGTTTTAGGAACCAAAAGGGTAGAAGTAGGGTATTCTATTATCTGATTGAGACAGTTCTTAAGATTGATGTTCTTATAATTAATTATATTTTACTTTTAGGTAACCGTTATTTAAGGCGGGTATAAAGTAATTTACAGTTTGAAATTTCTAAAAGAAGACACTGACTAATAAGCTGATGGTGTTAAATGTCCTTTTCCGAAAACAGTGTTATCTAAATTGTTACCTCGGTAGAAGCCTTTTTCAATAAGATGGTTTTAACATTAGTTAGTACAAAAATTTATCGCGTCATTTCACCATAAATGAAAATTATACAGGACTACACTAATTAACTACGTAAATAGTCACTTACACATTACGTCCATGTAGAATGGTTCACTTTCCCCGTCACCCTCGGTGTTATAACCGACGCAGGTATAATTGCCGGCACTTTTCCTCGACACCCCTTGCAACACCAAACTCTGGTTGCTTATTATAATGCCAACTCCCGCATTGTGTTGTAACAATTTGCCCTGAAAACAAGAAACAAATTTGTCTTGACACGACCACATAATTGTACCGCTTATCTGCTATAGATAGCCGGTAAATGAGCTTACAAATGGAAAATGCATGGGAATTTTGGCAACAGTTTCGGAGCATACTTTTAATAAGGATTATTGATATGTCATTATCATTCTCTGGCCACATACAGGGTGTCGCACATGTGAACAATACATAGCCATTGGTATAGAGGTTAATTAGTTTATTAAAGGTGAAACTACATTAATCTCTACTAATGCATACGTAGAGATACTTAATATTATAGGGTATATGCTCGGACTTCTACTTTTTATTCTATATTGACGGAGGAAACAAAAAGAAATCAGAGAGAAAACTAAATTTTTATGCCAACGCAAAAATTACAATTTTCGATTGTAAATGAGGGAATTTCAAGTTTCTAAATTTATTTTTGCTGGAATTTCATTTCAAAGCAACGGGCTGGTGGGATAAATTGTAAACAAAGCTTTAATATTTGGTAATTTTTCCTTTTGACGTGACAACGTCTTATAATTCGATGGAGCCGGCTGCACGCACGAAAAAACATGACTCATGCGGCGTTACCTCGCTCTGAGGCGTTCCATTTAAGGCTTGAAGTGCAAGCGAGAGCGCGGAACGAGCGACAAAGAGGCACAATCGGCCTCCGCGTTCGGCAGCGTTCGACATCTGTCTCTCTCCTACTTGAGTGAGCGATGCGTCCGCGTGGACAGCTGCTATACAATAATACATTTCCATTTACCTCCTTCTCTATATCCATACAAAATATCTATCAAACAAATAAAATTAAAATTTTCTTTTGAAAAATGAAACCATTCCATCAGCATTTTCTTATGACGTTGTCACGTTCAACTATCGTCAGTAAACCGACTTTACAGACAACCGATTTTTTTCATTTTATCCGTGTTTCTTATCCTTTTGGGCGAATTTACAATTCTCGCGTAATAATAAACAAACATTAGAAGATTAAAGTGAATTAATTTTTACCACTAGCCAGAGACATATTAGAAGCAGAAACGGGATTTATGAGGAGTAGAGATAGACTTAGATTCAATTACTGTTCACAAATAGTTAGGAATATGGGATGTTCTAGTTTAGGGAAATGCGAAGATTAGCTCAGGATAGGAAAGAGTGGAGGTACGTGTTCAACCAGTCTTAGGACTGACGATCTAATGATGATGATGACTACAGATAACCTCAAATTAATAAGGGAAAATTGTTGCTGCTGTTATCTCACATAACAATGGTAAAGACAAAGGTTTCGGGTTCAATTCCCGGTGAGGGAGTGACAATAGCAACAACTTTTCCTCATTAATTTGAGGTTATTTGTGGTGGTAAAAATTAATTATTAAAAACAATTCCCTTTAATGTACTAAAACATTACAAAAATTCTCAAACTTAAGTTAATTTTTTTTTACAACTGTTTGACGATTGCTTTTGTAAAACTAAAGCAAAGGAGGAAAAGGAATATGAAATATGTTTAAATATCCAATTTAGCAGTTGCAAATTGGGATAAAAGGGTAAGTAGAAAGTGTCATACGTTATGTCTCCATTCCACTTTGTAGACGCGGGGCTGAGCATCTATCACGCAGTCGAAGTAAACGTCACTTCCTTCCTTTATGTCGTCGGGATCCAGCGACGTCCCCAAGGTAATCTTCACTTCCGGTGTATCTGCAAAGAGAAGAGCACCCGGCTAATATGGTTGGCCGATTTTATTATAAAAAGTCACTCCGTCGGGAATTTCACAAACGAGATAAATGCCCTGTCTTTCCAACAGTCTCATATTTCCGAAACGATTTTATGCCAAGCTTGTCATCATTTTCATTTTTGCAATTATTTAGCATCTGAAGTAGAGAAAAGAAACTATTTTTAAACTATTTGCGCGAATTGAGTCGGCTCTAGCGCATACCGGGAATGTCAGAATTCAAAACTGTTTTTGTCGAAAATTTGCCACATTCATTGGGCTTAGAACGAACCCTGCTCGGTACGTACCGGACTTACAATTGCGAAGAAAGTAATTTTTAACCGCGGTCATATTCTTGGACGCAATATTTCTCGGAAAAATTCTTTCACAGACGGATGTCCAGCACATCATGCAATTTTTAAAAATTCTCAATTTTTTTCCCTTTGAATTGATATTTTTCCTGTCCGCGACGGTACGGGTCATCGGCCGGTGAAAGAATTTTTGTGCTATCTTTAATAGTTTGCCTAAACATTTATTTCTCGATTTCAAACATGACCAAAACTTCCAATAGCTATGACTCTGAAACGGAATCTCAAATTTAGACGCTTTAATTATCGGCGCAGTGCACAGTATCTCTAGAAACTTTGGATAAAACGCTAAAACGTCATTGGCCGTCTGTGGTCGCATTCGGTGCCGATAAGAAATGCAAAATTTTTAAAAACAAATATTTGAAGATTTGGAGAACTTCATAGCAGCAAACAGTAATTATCGAAAAAAGTCTTTTTTTCATTTTTTTTTTCATTAAAAAGTTGTTTTTATTTATTATATCAATCTAACATTAGAAGACAGAAGGCGGGGGAGGGGGGTAATTATCCACAATTAGAAGAAATTGACTCCTGATCTATGAAATAAAAAGGTTTTGGACCCATTGGTCTTAAAGCATCTTATGCCAAATTGTACCAACTATTAAAGGCTTTACAAGAATCCTTTATTTAGTTAATGTTTCATCGTTCGTTCCTAAAAGTCGTTTACTATTTAGTGTCGGCCTATCAAAGCAGTAAGAATGTAAACATAAATATGAACAAAAACTAAGTTTTCAAATTCTGAATGCAACCTATAATAATAGACAAACTTCAGGATTTTATAATTCGACGTGTGGATCTTGTTCTAGGGTAGTCTGGCAAAATTTTAGATAACGTTTATCAGTACATAACAAATCTTGGTAAAAAATAAATCAAATCTTAATCCATAAAGGAGTAGAAAGATCATTATCAAGTAATAGTAGACTTAATCGGTTCCAAAACTTGCTTATTCGACATCCTTCAGGAAAAAGACAACAAATTTTCTTCTTTATAGTCTACGTGTTTAATTTTTTTTGCATTAATAGTAACATACCTATATGTCACCCGAAATAAAACTAAATTGGATTCATTTATTTTCTAGTGCTGTAGTAGGTACTTCGTACACTAGGTACCTATAAAGTTTTACTGTTTCGTCCATTAAACCTCTTTTCGCAAAATTGGGTTTAATAAAAATTTTGTTCGAATTTCAGTGGAATGCACGTTCCTAAGTACCTATAAAAAGTCCTGAGATTTACGAGAAAGCGGTATTCAACCAAAAACCGAATTAATTATTCTACATGCACGACAATAGGTAAACATTTACAGTTTATCTAATCGATAACCATAAGAATGCAGAATTTCATAAAGTAACGGGAGATCCAAAAAAATTATTTTCTGTGCGGTGATCTACATGGATCTCTGTACAGACCTGACGCTTGAAGCTGGCGGAAATTTTAAAATGGCGTGGATGCGCGGTGGCAAAAGTAGGCACTTTTAGGTATAAAGATTGCAGCCCTCATTTTTCAGTATTCCTATCAGGGGCGTAGATTAAAAAAAATAGGGATCAGTGAGCAAGTAATAGACAGACAAACAGAAGAACTAATTGTTGATGTTGGTGACAGTGATAGAGATTCCCATGATGAGAGTGAATGTGAAAACTAACTATAAAACAAAAGCAATAGGTTAATTTTTTCTTTTTGATAAGTCATGTTTTTACATTATTTTCTAGTAGGCTACTGTCCTATCTGTATTAATACTATAATTTACGCCTACTGAAAGCTTATTTGTGTATCGGTTCCAAGTGACTTACCCAAATCGGTCATAAATGGGCAAGTACCTGCGCGACCGCTCGCCAGCTTCCTTCATCAGACCTGTACTATTCATTCAAGTGCGATGATTATGAAGATACAATTTTGGAAACTATTTTGTGAGTTTATTTCCACTGAACAGTGAAGATATTTCTTACTGTTTTTTAGTCTTTGCTAATCTCACCTAGAATGTAGGTTTTGGTAGATTTCTTCAGATCTCAGTATTTTTTATTGCATTAATCGCAAATGACAATATTGAAAGTTTTTACTAATTGATGATTAAAGTAAAAAGAATTGTAGTAAAACGTAAAAAGTAAATATCTTACATCTGGTTTGGTTTTCTTTTAAAACATTCCTTTGCCTTCTATCAGAATGTCTACGAAAATAAGAACTTGAAACGCGTTTTGCTCTTTGCTCTGCTTTAGTTTCAGTGAGTTATTTATCGACCGCAACAAAAAGCTGCAGGGTGTAAAATGTTTCTCGGTATATCACTTTTTAAGAGAGAGAAGATAATCTGAAAGATTCCTCTCTGAGGAGGCTTTAATGAATTTATTTATCTTAAAAGGAATTTTGTCCCAGCTTTTAGGAGCAGATATAAGACGAAACAAAAAAGACATAAACAAGATTTTAAGACTTATACAGCTTTTTAGACGTAAGATGGCTTAATGCTTATCGAACTGTCCATCCACTTTTTTCGAATATTGTGTTATCCGTCGTATTAATCGAAGTACAATGTTTTGAAATATGAAATAGCAATTCAGATTCTTGCTGAAATTATGTGAATGTTCCTATGCTAAATGTACCTGTATACCTATATTGAATGAAATTTGAAATTTGTCTTATTTTTACTACTAAGTTTCATGCGGATGAAGTAAAAATCTAGTAGATAATCAAAATAGAATTTTGAAAGGTACATCCCGAGATGAAATTGTTCAGTCTTTAGGAGTCTCTGAAAGCGAGACTCGAGTCTCCGTCTCTCATCGAGTCTCTCTGGTGTCGCTGAGAGAGACTGTCAAAAAAACGGTTTAGTGTCTCTGAACGAGAGGTTCGAGTCGCTCATAGAGAGATCCTCATTCCGTATCCAGTTTTTGAACGAGAGACTCGAATATCTGAACGAGAGACTCAAATCTGTGAATTAACAATTTTATCGTTCGAGTCCCTCATACAGAGACTGTGAGAGATCTATAAAAACATGTAGGCAATAACTGAGAGACTGTGAGAGACGCTGAAAGACTCTGAGAGACTGGAGAGAGACTAAAAATTTTTGTCTAGGGATAGGGATTAAACAATATGATTATGAATAATGCTCTTTTAAATAATGCATGCTTGCTTTGCTGTAGAATTTATGACGTATATTATATACGTACAAATACAAATGTATCCATCCATTTATTCATGAATAGGTTTCCGAGAAACAGTGAGACTACGTTGAAAGGACGAATAAGCGTGTCCATTAAGAAGCAGCAATAAGAACAAGAGGCAAGTTGCAAAACAAACAAAGAATGTTATGTGCAACATATATAGCAATGAAAAGCGCTTACACTGTATTTTCAGAGTCCAGACGTCCCGGAGGGCCGGCGCTGGAACGGCTTTGTTTTCAGCCTGGCACGTCAGTTTCTTTCCTGCGTCATCCTTGGACGCAACGAAGGACAATGTGCTCGTCGTTGTGTTACCTTCAGCATCGGTCGACCCCTAGAACAACACAAACTACCATTTATCCGAGCACCTTTGTTTTAGTAGGTACATCTATAAATAATCTAAATGGGGAATGTGTCTCACTACACTACACTGTAACATTTCCAAAATAGATGTGAAAGTTTAATTTAATCAGTTGAAGTGGTACTAACTGATTCACAATTGCTCACAGAAAATTTTCATAAAGAATAATTACAAGCTTTTAGTTCTTTATCTATCTATTTATCGTATGATTTACATTAAGATACCAAAAGAAATTGTTTGAATTAATGTAGAGAGGTAATGCTGGCGAAAAATGAAAGAAGATGTAGGCAAGTCATTGTTTACGCCTTTAGAACTTGTACTGAGGATTTAATGGAGTTACAAACTACTAGATTCTCATTCCTGCAATTGTAACCTCTTTATATAATCCATTTTGGGCGAAGATTACTAGTAAAGTTTTGTTGGTATAAATTCGGGAAATCTAGAATCATGACGTGAACCCCTAATTTAATTAATCGACAATGACACGTCGACAATGCTAAGAGTTAAGGAAAAGTAATCGAATAAGGGCTTCGACTGCCTCCGAGAAACTTCGTGCAAGACTCCCTGGAAACGTCACTCATTTTCAATTTCGAACAAAACTGAAGAGTGCACTCATTACCCGACTAGTTCATAAAGAGTTTTCGACTTAGAAAAGCTTGCATTTTCATTGAATACCTTTCAACGAAAAAGTGTTAAGATTTAAATGTTACACTATAGATAATAGGTATTATAACAGATGTTATAGCCTTTTGTTGGGATCAAGCTTGAGTTAAGAAACCGAAAATAACTTAAATGGCATTTAACCTAATATATGGGAACGTAAACGCTTTTTATTAGCTACACAGCGTATGTTTAGTGAAACAATGTTATATTTATGAAAATAGTTTCTAAATAAAATCAGTATGAGAATACCTAATTACTGTACTTTGACATTAGGGTATATCTATCCATAATATCTGCTTTTCGATTAAATACAATCTCATCGAAAAATATGAAATTAGGTATATATATCATAAGGTCGTCAGTCCTAAGACTGGTTGAACACGCACCTCCACTCTTTCCTATCCTGAGCTAATCTTCGCATTTCCCCAAAAGTAGAATCAACCCACATCCTTAACTATTTGCGAACAGTAATCTAGTCTAGGTCTACCTCTATTCCTCTTAACTCCTTTTTCAGCCTCTAATGTATCTCTGACTAGACCTTCATGCCTGAGAAAGAGTCGTACTACCCTATCTCGTCTATTTCTTTATCAAAATCGGCCACTTCTTCTAAATAATTTTTCCCAAAACGAAGCTTTGTTTAAGAGCTTTTGCCAAACGTATTTAAGCTATAGGATATACACAATACAGTAGTTTTTTTAATAGTGTGACATTTCAATTTTTGTTGAAGAAAATATCGTGCTGTAAGCGTTCTGGGCTTTTAAATAAGAATTTATTGAATAATTTGAGCGTATTATAATAGCGAAAGTTGTTGGCTTATCATAAGGCATTTGTCATAAAATTATATTCGGGCATATTCGCTCGAACAACTCGTTCTTTCCCTTAGGATACGTTTGTGTATCTTTTCATGAACTTCTTACTTCCATCTCGCATTTAGATTCGCACGTAATGAAGTGAATTCAAATTTACTTCGAGTAACAAGTCGTGTTATCACATTTGCGGCGCCAGCGGTGACGCTGTGACATACTCAGGATGCCCCAGAACTGTTGGAAATGTTCACCTCATTAGATATTCTCTTTGAGTGTAACAACTGGATGATGTTAGCAGGTGAATACGGGAAAATGGCGATTTTAATATATACTATTAAGTAGGCACTTATTTCATAGGCTATTTATTCACTCGAATAAACTGTAACTTCTCTCTGGGGTTCTCTGCTCTCCTGTCGTACATAATTTCCCTTAAACTTCACAACCTGTTAAGGCGGATATGCACTTGGAACAAATGAACCATAACGTAACAGCGAACGTGTTACGTTACGACTAATGCAGACGGAAAACTGTTGCATTTTACCTGTAACCAAGTTCATGCGAGTAATCATTACAAGCCAGTTTTTGCTAGCGGCATCAAGGGGATGTTAGGTATAGATAGTTCAGAATGACATGAACCTTTAGATGCGCAGGATGCGGGCTTTATCGCACATTATTGTAAAAATTGACTCGGATCTTATTCCATTCATTCAAAGTATGTGGTTCTCTATACGTATAACCAGAGATGGACAGGAATAAGTTTTGTCATTGTGTGGTCCAAGGTCAAGGTCCATGTCATTCTAAGTTACCTCTACGTTACACGCTGTCACAAATTCTATGTATGCGTGTCGTTACTTCTCTTCCATTTTAAATTTGTTGGTAATAGTCAACAGAAATCGATGACCCAAATGAATCAAGCACGAATTCGAAATTAGTGGGATCCCTTCTAGTGAAATTATTGTATAATCCACTGACACACTCAAACTGTAAAAGCCTCAGTGAGGCTATAGATCTTGACATTCACCATTGCGAATTGTTTTTTAATGCTCAAAATCTGGTGAGAATGTTGTATTGTAGTCCTGCTCGGTACGGTTTAATACAATCAAATTACAAATTTTTTGGATGCGAATTCTTATACTTTTACTTCACTTTAGTTTTTCTGTAAACTTTATAATTTTGCTATATGCAGATACCTGTAGAAAACAAAGGTGGGTATCTAATTTTGGTGCACGGCATATATATGGTGGACAAATACACCCTTAATTACCACACGTAATATCTGAAAAACCGGCACATGTTGCATCCGTTTCGAGGGTGAATATTCGCCAGTCTCTTTTTTCGTTAGAAATATATTTCGAGTAAATTGGTGTCCAACAGCAAAACTGAGATAAACTTTTAGTTTACTTTATCTATTTATTATACACTAGTGGCGAGTTAAGAACCGAAGATAGGGACATTATTACATATTATTACATGCAATCGCAAAGGGTAGCATCATCTTTTGATAAATAAGACGTGGTAAAGAAAAATTCAGACTAATATCTTCAACAATCCTATTCATCATCATCATAAGGTCATCAGTCTTAAGACTGGTTGGACACTCCACTCTTTCCTATCCTAAGCTAAACTTCACACGTTCCTAAAACTAGAACAGCCCACATCCTTAACTGTTTGCGAACATTAATCTAATCTAGGTCTACCTCTACCCCTCCTAACTCCTGTTTCTGCCTCTAATATGTCTCTGACTAGACCTTCATGCCTGAGAAGGTGTCCTATCAACCTATCTCGCCTATTTTATTTAATATTACAGTACTATTCATGCATTAATGTAATTTAAAGCTTTTCAGTGGAGTGGCTGATATTTCTAGCCAGACATAATTGAAAAAATGCTCTAGACTTTCATCAATTATGCACTTTCGCTAGTGTGACATAAAAAGCAAAAATGTCGACAAGAAAGTGTGTAATTTCTATATTCGGTGAAGGTTTTGCCTTACCTGCATATCATGTGCCAAAACCGATAGGTTTTATTGAGGAAATCAAAATAAATATAGTATCCAAAATAAGAATCCTTAAATATAATTGTTAAAAAAAGTTACCTTAGTTTCAATATTTATCTTTCCCGTTCTTGTGTGCGAAAATCAACTGCTTTAAACTGCTTAAAAAATGCGAACATTCGTAAGATATTATGGAACGGATACAATTGAAAAACGTAAAAGTAAAGTAAATTAGCTTAAAGTCTGATCGAACCGTTATGTAAACTTCCGACATCCCTCTTCTGCGATTTTGAACGTTTTTTTATAGCTGCTTGGCCACATGAAATGTTCGAAAAAGTTGCTTTCTATTCACAAACCTTGTGCAGGATTTTTATACTGGGAGAAAACCATGAGAAAACAAACTGGAAATGGGCGTTTAGCTTTCCATTCTATCGGGAAATGATAAAGTTTAACGAGCGGTTAAAATAGTCGTAAAGCAAACCGTATAAAAACAGACCCCGAGAAAACTTGACGCTTTCGCCAATTTGGAAATTCTCCTAATATTTTTCGATAAACAAAGGTACAAAAGTGCCTTCGTTCTTCACCATCTGCTAACTTTTCACTTGTAAGAAGCAATTACTAAATCTTAAAGTTTAAACGTAACTTCCTAACACTCTTCAGAGTAGGGTAAGTATATTAACAACTGCCCTAAGTTATTACCATAAAAGTCTAGTTGACGATGAGTTTAATAGTATTAACGTTAAAACTTCGTCTTTGGTAATACATAGAAAATTAATGCTTGGTAGAGACATGGGATCTGTATTAGTTACCTAAGTACTTCGATTAAATATATGTAAAATGAAAGATTTGCTCACAATAACTACAAGAGAGCACATATTTTAAAATATCTCCATACTTATACAAATATTTTAGTAGTTTTTAGATAAATTATTTAATAGGCAATCTTATAAAACAATGAATATTGTACCTACGAATAATAGATCACAAATAATTATTATTAAAAGTTATTAACAGTTTGTTAAAGATTTCTAATATGAATTTGTAATTTAATCTTGGTTTTTATTTTCCTAACAAGGATAACCTAATATTAAACTGACAATTAATTTTCAATTCTTTACCCATTATAACCCGAGATAAAAATGTTCAGTCTCTCAGAGTCTCTGAAAGCGAGACTCGAGTCTCCGTCTCTCATCGAGTCTCTCTGGTATCGCTGAGAGAGACTGTCGAGAGACTGTCAAAAGAAGCTGTTAAGCGTCTCTGAACGAGAGACTCGAATCTCTCAATAAGTGGTGTCTTGATAGACATGGTTAAAGATTCTAAGTTCAACATATTTCAGTGATCCCAGTCTTTCTACGAGAGACTCGAGTCTCTCAATTTTTCAGTTTTATAAGACTCTGAATCTCTGAATTAACAATTCTATCGTTCGAGTTTCTCATACAGAGACTGTGAGAGATCCATAAAAACACCTAGGCAATAACTGAAAGACTGTGAGAGACTGGAAAGAGACTCAAAA